TAAAGGATAGCATCTTCCTGTATGTACCTGCCCAGACCTAAAGATCGTTGCTGGAAGATATTCTCAGGTTTTTTCATCTTGCGAGGTTTGATGGGTGAGGCACTAGGGAGCGGCCTTTTCAGAGTTGTTGCTCCAATTACGGAATGTCCTCCCCAGAGGGGCTTGCCTGGTGCTTGAGTTAAGGACTTTCACTCAAAGTCCTTTTTAGTGCCACTTGCCATTTAGAACCATGTTATAGTGTATTTTAGTACCTGGGAGAAATTATTTTTAGCTGAGCTTTAAATCCTGTTATAGAATTATTTCATGCTGCTGCTGCTGGAGGAGGAATTGTATTGATTTTAGTGTTTTCACATTTTTTGATATTTCAAAATCGATATTATTGTTTTAAATTTTGTGTGAACTGACCAGAATATGTTGCTAGTGGGCAGTCAACAACTGTCTAAAATAAACAAATAAATCCAGTGCTGCACATGTGGGCACCAGCTTGTATGTTTAAAGCCGGGATTGGAAACTGGATCTGACAAGTGGGTCGGATCCATGTTTCCAGTCCCTGCAGGTCAATTTTAACAGGTGGGCAGGAACACCCACCTGTCATACCCCCAAAGTAAGAGTCCACTTCATCTTAAAATAGCATATAAACTCAGAGGCTTAGTGTTACTTGGAACATCACTACCTGACATCAGGTAAACTACCAGGAACCTACCAATTTTGCCTATGACCTCCTCCAGTCTGACCCCCACCAATGTGCTGATAGAAATCAGCACTTTGCAAATGTTGGAATTTGCAAAATAATTTCACAATCATCAACACAAAGCCCACTACTTTTTTTTATACCAAGCCAGATGTTTTTGGAAATGTTAATTGCCTTGAGATTATATTGAGAAAGTCAATAAAATACTAAGACTCGGTACATTCTTGGAAAGACAAATGGCAGCTGAAGCCTTAAAGCCTAAGCAATGCTAACAGCTGTTCTTTGTTTTCAGGTCTCAGTCCGTGGTGGAATCTGGAACGTTGAAACACGAGGATCAGCATGAGAATGAGAACACCCAGCCACTGCTGGCTCTGGACTGAGTCTGAATTCACCGCAAAGCGCACAACTGCACCATCAGACTTCAATGGTACAAGATACCCATGAAGCAAAAGACAGGTTTAATACACATTAACACACATTCAGCTTGAAACAAGGCTCTCGGTCTTTGCAGAGCAAGTAAATGATCATCACCAGCCATCTGTATGTGTGGCCAAAGCCAATGGGGAGATGCCCTGCGGCCCAAGTTCTAAGCTAATGAGCCTGATTGCAAAGCAGAGCCCCCCCTTTGTAATTTTAGGGTTTATGATATTAACAATGGTTGAAATGTTAGGGATGACTTTGTATGTTCATGCACTCAAAGATACATCAGTTGAGGTTTTCCCCTACTGTTTAAGCAGGGATATTCTCCAGTTTTATTAAAATGAAATTTAGATGCAGTACACACACAAATATATATACATTTCAAGTAAAGGTGTCTTGAGTTTAAATATTGCAGCAACAGGCATAATTTAGTTTGCAGCATGGAGAGAACACCTTGAAACCCGTAAGTCCTTATAAAGCTGCCTCCTCTGCGTTTTATCTACACACAACACACATACACGCACACACTAAGCAATCACCAGCAGAAAATTCTTCAACTCTGCAATATGTGATCTCATCACCTCAGCTATTTGCAGGGGTCACTTATTACAGTCCCCTGGAAAATAAATTCTTAACTTTTAAAAGTCCTTATAAACCTGTCAGCTCAATGTAATGACTGGAGTTGGAAACAGACACAGGCAATTTGAAAAGCAATTATTTAATTTTAACAGTGTGGGATCCACCCCCCAAGGCAACTACAGTATGTGGGGTAGATATGTTGGGGGGGGGGAAGGAGGTGTCTGAGCTCAATGAGAACACTTACTGGTGATTAATGTTCCACTCCAGGTCCTTTCATTTAGGTCATTCCGGCAAATGAAAGCTCAGCAGAGCTGTTTAACCATCTTTTCTCCAGCAATCAGTTAAAGGTGTAGCCAGAGGGCCTGGCTGACTGCAGATATACGCTATGCTTAGAATGGAAAGGGAAAACTTGGAATGAATTATTCAATATGCCTCCATTAGAAGGAACCATGGAAGAACAGAAAAACGTAGAACTGAAATGCCAAAGATCATTTTGCTATTCCCGTCTTTGCTCTACTTGCAAAAGCAAATCCCATTCTTGCATTGAAAATAGTAAGGGGGGCGACTCCACTATATATATATATATATATATATATATATATATATATATATATATATGCAGGTTTTGGTGTCCTCGGGTGTCTTCCCGTGTAAAAGTTGGGGTGTCTAGGCGACGTTTCGACGAGGTCTCACTCGTCATCTTCAGGCTGGTGCTTTCGGCTTCTTGTTACTGGAACAGAGCAGGATCTCAGTGTTTGAGTTCCTATAAATACTGTTGAGGGGGTGTGGTGTATAGCCTCCAATGTTCTGGGCAGGCTATACACCACACCCCCTCAACAGTATTTATAGGAACTCAAACACTGAGATCCTGCTCTGTTCCAGTAACAAGAAGCCGAAAGCACCAGCCTGAAGATGACGAGTGAGACCTCGTCGAAACGTCGCCTAGACACCCCAACTTTTACACGGGAAGACACCCGAGGACACCAAAACCTGCATTCCTGTACCCGTGAAAATCTACGAAAGCAAATATATATATATATATATATATATATGCGCTGTGGCTTTATTTCCTCAAAGAGCTGGAAACATGTTTGTTGACATTTTGCAATAGTATGTAACAGCCAGTTAGCAATCCTTAGCCAAACAGTACAATTATGCCATATGCCCTGAAGGATTTGCTTGCTATCTCAAGGATGGCCAAGTAACTCTAAAGTCAAGGATGGGGAACCTGTGACCTTCTAGATGTCATTAGACTCCAAGTCCCAGAAGCCTCAGTCACCATAGCTAATAGCCAAGGATGATGGGAACTGGAGTACAACAACATCTGGAGGGCCACATCCTTCATCCCTGCCTTCGGTGAAGCTGAGAAACAATTGCAGTCATTTAGTAGAAGTCACATGTAATGAATAAAGCCATGATATGTTACTGGCATAATGTTTCATTGTTAGGGATATCATTCAGAAACTGTTTTATCTATTGTGTAGAGCTAAGATGCTTGTACAGAGTTGCAGCAGAAATAATTTAGTTGCAGATTCTATTGCTCCAGGGGGCCAAATAAAAAAATGAACTTGGTCTCTCTTGTAAAATCAAAGTTCTATCAAATCAGTAATTATCAAGTCAGCCTTTTATTGTTTCTCAGTGAAATACAGGGTCTCCACCTTTATTACAGGTTTACTTTGGACTGTTGCTTCTGCTGGTAAAGTCCAGATTGTTTACTAATCCTTTGTCACAGGGGCCAACATAAAAAAGCTGCTTATCATTCATAACAGAAAAACTGAGTTTTTACCACTGTATCTGTTTTCAGAAAAGTTTGCTGTACTTAACTCTCACTCCTACCACCATGGACTTTGTACCCTCTGGAAATGATGACCAAATGCATTGTAAATTTTGGGGAAGGTTGCAACAAGTATTAAAATCTTAGCTAAAGATCCATGTAATTTATTTTTATAGCCCAAGAGTATTAAAAGAAGCATTATGGAATAGCATCCATGGGTACCCAAACAAGCAATTTCAACTCAGATAATAAACCTTAAAATGGAAAAATAAATAAGTAGACCTTTGTGTGGATTGTAAATGTACCCAAAAGGCCAGGACAGAACATAACAGGAAGTTTTTTTGCAACTGCCAAGGTTAGCATAAGGATAGTGCTTAAAAGGTTATTTCTGGCAGTGTTAGTTGGACATGTGGCTTTTGAAAGTGCTTCTTCCATTAGCAGCATGATGCAGAACTCTAGGAAGCGTACAATGGTAACAAGGAAAGGTCAAGGTTGACTCATGTATACACTGTATATTTGTGTGTTCTGCAGGGTTTTATTTGGTGTTTTTTTAGTATAGTGCCAAAACCTGTCCTCCAAAATTTCAAACGTTTTTTCCCCCCATGAAAGCTTTCATTTTCCTGCCTCACTGACAGCATGTTGGATAATTTCAGCTGGAGGTGAACTTGCACAGTGCTCATTGTACAATGGCAGTAGTGGCATGCAGTGATTATTTCATAGGAGAAGACTTAGGGCCAGAGGTGCCAGCTTGTGAGGACAATGGGGGGACTGACGCTGTGCTCGTGATGTCGTAACGTCCTGACATTGTGCGCATGAGCATCACACCTCCCTCCCTAAACTGGGCAGAAGTTTCCCGGGCTTTGGGAAGGAGGTGCCAGGCTTTAATAATTTAATACTCTAATTTACCAGTAGCATTTAGGGGACTAGTCTAGTCCCCCTAGTCCACTGACCGCACACCACTGAATGGCAGATGGCAGCGGGGGAGGTCCCCCCTCCATTAAAACATTTCACCTGGGTTCCTCAGCCTCCTTGGCTGCCAGTGTTTCCTGATTTGACAAAAGGCCCATGGGAGAAGTTACCGCATGGCACCTTCCCCTGAAGTTTAAATGAAGTACAGGAAGCTTGAGAGGGTGGCTGCCAAGCACCTGAGATGGGAGTACTTGCTGGTTTTGTTTTTAAGTAAATTCCTTATTTTTGCTATATTATTATTAAGCACAAACTTAGCACACTGATTTCTTTCAAAGCAAAAATAATTTTTAAAAACAACAACTCCTCATGAGGTTTTCAGGAAGTGTGGGCCCCTTGCAAGCCTGTACAGTGCAGACCTGTAGAAAGATGACATGTAGAATGAAACAAATGACTCAGAAAACCTCCTGCTACTTCAAAAGTAAATAAGTGTGAGAACACCCCCCACCAACTCTACCCATGAGAATTTCACCAAAATTTCCTCTCTCCTTTGATATTTTTTTTAATGCAGTTCCTTTTCTCACTGGTGAGGAATGGTAGAAAAAAACACAGAAGAAGGCCAACACAACATTTGTTTTTATGTAAGCTTCATTTATTCCAGCAGCAACAGCAATTTTTGCCATCAATGCAAAAATTAGAAACTTTCAGGGGTGAAGCTACTAATATAAAAAAAATCCACACTGCCACAAAGAAGGCACTTGTTTAATGCACAATATACCACAGCACGTAATGGGCAACCATTAGCTTGTAGGTGCACATTTAGAGTAGATTGCTATATTCCATTTGCCTTCCACGTGCAGTAATTGTTTTCAGGCAAAACTGAGATAAGGTAACACTGAACAATGCTGAGCTAATGAGGGCTACAGAAAAATGTAGCCTGTGGTTTCCCAGATGGAACAACACATACTTGTTCACACTTTCATTTTAGGCCTTCCACCGGCACTTAGGAAAGAAAAGGCAGCTATTTATAAACATTATACATAGGAATCTTTCCATTCAATGACACAAATGACAACAACAGGGCCCTGGATTCAATCTGTACAAAATACTGACCATTCTATTTGAAAATATTACTCCGTCAAGGCCGTAGCAAATATTTATTTTCATGTCATCAGTTTAGGTAACATCTCAGAACTTCGGCTTCTATAATTTCAAAAGTATAGCACTATAAAACCCAGCACATGTATACATTGGCACGTTTCTGCTCATAAAATTAAAACTGTAATGTATATTTTGGTCAGAGAGTGTGAACTGTCTTGTTGTTGGTCGTAATTGTAAAAAGTCTAACCAAAGCTGCTTTGGTGCTGATCCTGTGCACCGCACTTCACTAATTCAAAGGCAAAACTGAGAAGTGAATATGAAAGGGAGGTCAGCCCCCACTTCCCCCCCTCAGGTGGATTGAAACAACAATGTGGGTGTCACTTCATGTGATGATACCTGTATCCAAACTGAATGCTTCCTCTACCACATACGCCAATGTACAATAAGAAACTGACCGCACTTGAGAATAGAAATGCCATAACAAAAGACTGGAAGCAAATTGGTTCCAAATGTGATCCTCCTCACAACCTGCACAGTCCCTTAATAAGAAAATGTGCTTCCCATTTAAGTGAAATTCTTTTTGCTGTATTGGAAAGGGCCACCAAACCTTTTTTATGAGGAAGACACAGACATATCAGAGCTGGGTTATAAGTACTGCTCAGCAGAAACTGAGCAAGGCAAATGCATATTGTGCCTTCTCACTTGAAAGACAAAGGCCGAACTCAATAAAATGAAGAGCAGCTCCATAAGGCATCATCTCTGCAAAATTAACATGGATTGCCATTATTACAAAAGAAAATTACAAAAGGAAAGTGGTTCATAAAGAGCAGGAAAATGGTATCCATATACGATACAAAAATACTATGATCTTTTAAAAAATACAATACCAAATCATCCACTCACATTATCTACAGCTCACACTATCAGTTCATTCACTTAAATCTAAATTCATTTCTACACATTCTAGTATGACAAATTTCCAAGATGCTTGCGAGTAACTGGTTATGAGTGTCCTTAGAAGGATATAGAAGCACTGATGTGAGATGCAATTCACCAAGTACTGTAGCTGCACAACTTTCCTTCATGTGAACAGAAATTGCATACTCACAGTGTCTGAAAATCTGTGTCCTTTATGTTTACACACAAGCATTAGTAGTTACGTGACTAGTACACCAAGTGTGTGCTTAGCAGTGGTAAACATAATGCTGGCATAACAAATATTGGCATAGGTCTTATTTTGATATATGGCACAGGATATTCTTTGGCTGACAAAAGAATAGGAATCTGTACTTGCAGCATGAATACAGAGCTATCAGATCAGTGCCTTATAAAGCACAGAATAGGATGCTTTAAAGTCCATGCCCAGGTTACTTCATACATACAAATTCAGGTTTCTTTCTTTTTTAATGAGACCAGCACTTCCAAACATAAAATGTAGACCTCAACAGGGAAGGCCTCAAGCATCCTTCAAATGGCTGGAAGGGAGCGCCGCTGTTGCGATGTTAACTCTGGATGCCAAACATCCACAATGAATATCAGGCGATAAGCATCAGCATCCTGCCACACTTCATGTTCAAAAGAGTCATCAAAGATAAGGATTTTCCCTTCTTCCCAGAACCTGAAAGACAGAGAAGCCATCCTTTATTTGCTGCCTCAAGAACCACATCTCCATTCTAGATGAAAACCATGCACAGATGACCAAACTACCCTGGAGCTAGTAGCTTTACTCTGGAATAGCTTGATATTAGCTCTTCCATACAAAAAGGAGAAGGCAGATGTATGATATAAAATATGTGGTAGAATGCACATCCACATTGATCCGGAATCTGTAACAGATTCTCTACATTGTGTTTACCTATTGTTTGATTGGGTTAGATTCTAACTTACGGCTCTTCACACAATCTCCCCTTTCTTCTGCTGTGCCCCTCACAAATCTGCCCCTGTCTTTCAAGCTAACCTACTACACAGGGGTTTGGGTAGGATGAAATGGAGATAGTGTCATATATGCTGAGAAAAGGTAGGGTGCAAATGTAATATATTCAGCAACCAAGTTCGGTAAGTCTGAAGAACTGTTCATCTGTTTAAGCATCATAGTGAAAAACACTGAGAGGAAAGATCAATATCAAGGAAAAAGAAAACAAGTATGGTAATTTTCCAAAGCAAATCTAGTCTAATAAAGCAATATGTACAAATTAATTCTTAGAAGAGCAAATGAACACACAAGACTCACTTTGTCTCACTTTTATGAAACCATCTTACTAGCAAAAACCCGAAGCAGAAGTTAATAAACTTATAATCCATCAATGAATAATTTTCCTTTTCTATGATGAGGGTCACATGTCCTCAAAGGTAATCTGTCACAGGCTGCATGCCAGGTGTCACAGGAGCCAGAGTCAATGATGGGCAGAGCTAGAGTGAAAAGTGTTCAAATGGGAATATGGCTTCTATCCTAACTTTGTTTCCAGTTGGCTCATGGAAATATCAAGAGGTACTTATCTAATGTGGATGGGGCTATAATGGAGCAATGAAGCTATTATTTCATAGAATCATTGAACTGTAGAGTTGGAAGGTATCCCAAGGGCCATCTAGTCCAACCCTCTGCTACACAGGAATTTCAACTAAATCATATCCAACTTCTACTTAAAAACTTCCAAGAAAAGTCTGTCACCTCTATGTGACAAAAATACGGCCATCATCTACCTATTTTTTTTATATCAACTAGAAACCTAGAAACTTGGCTTATGACATGTGTTCAGTCTGTGAGATATATGTTGATTGAGTCATTCAAGAAGCACTATTTCTGAAAACAGTTTCTTACACCATGGTGAAGATCAGTCCAAATATGACCGGCCTTTTAGTATTTGCAAAGGTCTCATCGTGGCCTTTGCAGAGTTGCATTATATCAGTTCATAGCATATTTCCTGAGCTTGGCCCAGTGTTGTCTAATCTAGCTGCCACTGAGGCCCACTTTTCCTTTCCCCCATCCTCCAATTTCAGTTTGCAGGACGTGACAACCCTGGACCTCTTTGAAATAATAATTCTCCAGTGATACCGACCTTCTTGGAAAGAGATGCTGCCTTGCCTCGCTGGTTCTACCATACACAAGAATGACAGACCTTTTTGGGTCAGAAGAGTTTTCTCTTTGATACCTGATTCACACCATTAATTTGGCCTCTTGATGGGACACTGCAAGGCTTCCCCCATAAGGTTCAAGTTTACACAGAACACATTATATTTCTAACCACCATTTCCTCCTTTTTTCATGATTCTGTGAACAGGAAACCTTAGGAGCATCCTGACGATCTCTGAATTCCTCCAAAGTCTGCGACTGGCAAAGTCTCTGATTAGTACTCTGAAAGTAGAGTTTGTACCCCAGCTCTCAACTTCAGGATTATCCTACGGAAGCAGAGAGCAATAGGCAAGAATATCCATCGCTCACCTCACTCCAACATTGCCCTAGTTCTACAATGAGAGCAGGCCACAGTCTTCTCATAATTAATCTCTGATGAGAACAAGACTGAGCTTTAAATACTGCAAACAGCCCTGGACATCACATTACCATAACGATTTAAAGAGAAGAAAATTCAAGAGAGAGCAATAAACAGAGGAAGCAATTAGAGGAAAGGATTTAAGCTTCACAATTGGAAAGATGTTCAGAAGTGTTTTGTTCACCCTACTTAAAAGGGACCTTCTTTCAACTAAATTCATAGCACTGAACATTTTGGCTGATACTTTGACTAATGGAAAATACAATACAGTGGAAGTGTCATAATCAAGAAAGAAAACTCATTTATTTAAACTGATTTTAAAAAGTGATGGCTATGAGGAACCTCGATCCTAAATTTACACACCAGAACTTTGGATAGCTGCTTCAAGTGTTGTTTTAATAGAAAAGTGGGAATAAATGTTAATTCTAATGCAGATATACGAAACCCAAGGATTAAAATAGTCAGTCCTGTAAACTGGTTTGCAGGATTATAGGCAACACCATGCCAGGTCTTAAATTTAGCTTCTGTCTAATTCTGGTGGAAAGCAAGAGACAAACTTGCGTAAGAAAGTGACTCCATTTTAAGGGGGGGGGAGGTTTGTTTGTTTTTATTTTAAAAATTGCATTAATTAGCCACCAAAAGTTCTGATTCTTTAGAAAAACACTAGTGCAAGGGAAGTGTTGCTGTCGAAAATTTGAAGAGGATTCTGTCATTTACATAGCCTTGAAAGAGATTGCTACACAAACAAACAAAACAAAACAGCTACAGAATTGCCAGGGCCGTTAATTGGACCTACCACTGAAATGCAAATAAATGTGGGGTTTTGTGTGTGTATGCCACACTATATTGTGAATGAAAAGTACCATAATGTGATCATCACAACATGATATCGTACAATTAGAATTATGTCAACACTGGGCTATGTTGGTTGCATCAACTAATGCCCTTAGCACTAGACACTCCTGTATTATACAGAACTCTCCTTTGACAGCTTATTAAGTTTAAATTATTTGTATTGTCATATTTCATATTACATTTTGAATTGCAGCATCTGATCTAGATCATGTTTATCCCTGTAAAAGGGCTGGGTAAGGTTTTTGGAGGGCTTTTCTGCAGTAATATATTATGATTGTGTCATGGCTTTCTCTTTTGTAATAAGTAAAAACTTGGAATGGAAATGACAAACAATGACTAGGAGAAGCTAAACATTCATTAAATTTCTCATTATCAAATTTCTGAGCAACATCCCTTTGCACCTAACTCAGCTCAAACTCCTGGAAACAAATATTATTGTCAATGACTAGTCAATAGGAGCTAACGGCTGCCACAAACTGACATGTGTGGCGCAGTATTTTAATTAGGTATATGCTGGCAAGTGTCCAAAATTTCTGGTGGAAGTAGCTGCAATCACATTATTAATTGATGAAAAAAAATCCTGCCTTCAAAATACATTTCCCCCAGAAAATGTATTTTATTTTTTTTACATGTTAGGAAGATGATTGGCACATGTGATTCCCTCCCCACCCCACCCCACAAAACCCACTAACTGGGTTTCTACAATAGTAACAGTTCCAAAACATGATTGGCAGACTGGAAAACAACACTAGCTTTTTCAGATTTTTTCCTGTATACTGCCTTAAATTGCAATCCTAGGCTCACTTTCCACGGAACAAATCCCGCTGAGGTCCTGCTCCTTCCTATTGATCACTTTGGTTGTCCTTTTCTGAACCTTTTCCAACTCTAGCATATAATTTTTGAGGTGAGGTGATCAGAACTGTACATGGTATTCCAAAAGTGGTTGCACCATAGATTTGTGTGATGGCATTATGATGTCGGCAACTTTGTTTTCAAGTCCTTTTCTAATAATCCCTAGGATGGAATTTGCCTTTTTCACAATTTCCATACACCGGGTCAGCAGTTCAGAATCATACACACAACTGGATCAGCATTTCCAAGAGCTGAGGAGGGAAGCCATTTTTAAAGTTTAATGGCCAATTGATTACCTTTGGGGGTATTAGGAGCTGCAGCTGGAAAAACCTCAAAAGAAAGGTCCAGTTTCTCTTGGTGCTCTCACCTGTATGCTTTTATAACTTTTTTGTATCATATGAGCTAGTATTATATTTACCACCTCTCAGGACTCCTTCAGTGCCTAGAGACATAACTGTGACATTGTTTAGAAATGTCTCTGAAATGAGAGGCCTCAAAAGGTTTATTTGCTGACTGATATTTATAAATGAATGATAATTATACACGTGCTGGTTTTGGAAAGGAGGGAGGGAGAGAAAATTGAAGAAGGAGGTCATTGATTGCAATAAAGAGATGATAGATAGATGATAGAGATAGGTAGATGATAGGTAGATGATACAGATAGATAGATAGATAGATAGATAGATAGATAGATAGATAGATAGATAGATAGATAGATAGATAGATAGATAGATGGATGATAGGGCATGTCAACCAGCCAGTGCTTTTAACTTGTGTGTGTTCTGTCTAGTAACCAAATGCTGACAACTTTGCCCAGATTTGTCTTCCAGATTTAATCCAGCCCCCCCCCAAAAAAAACCTGGTTCTGCCCTGACTCACCAGGTTCTGTATAATAATAATAATAATAATAATAATAATAATAATAATAATAATTATTATTATTATTATTATTATTATTATTATTATTATTAATACCCTGCCCATCTGGCTCGGTTTCCCCAGGCACTCTGGGCGGCTTCCAACAGAATTTTAAAATACAATAATCTATTAAACATTAAAAGCTTCCCTAATCAGAGTACTGACTCTGTTTGCTAGGGAGCTCTTCCCCTTTGGCTCCTGTCCCCACTCTTATAGTACATGAACGTGCCCACCATAAACCCCAGACCAGAGGATAAGGGAGGAGGGCAATACCTTGTTTCTTCAGCACACCGAATCTGGCACCCTTCTTTTGGAATCACCAAGCCTAGATGCATCCTCAGCCTACAATTTGTAGGCCCTGTGTGAGGCCAGACATGAGTCCCTGGGTGCATGACAGAATATTTGATCTGCAGAGAGAGGCATAGTTTGTGGGTTTTTTAAAAAAAATAAATCAGTTCAATTACTCTAACTTGCAGAGAGTATAGGACTGTGTTCAAACCAATTCAGGCTGACAAGCCAGCACTGCTATGTCATCTTGTGTTAGCAAGCCTGTTCATGACTATGTCCAGGAACCTTGATATAAAGGTTCTTTAACTTCTCCAAAGCACATGATAGGAGCTTTAATTAGAGCTGAATCTCCTAGAGTTACTTTAGAGCTCCAATACAATCCCACCCTCAGATCACACCAAAAATGGTTTGTTGCAGTGTGCAGGAGCACACTTAATAAGGGGCGGGGGGATTGTATTTCTATCAGAATTGTAGGAGTGGGAAGGAAAGTTTAAAACTTGCATCTCTATATGACCCCCCCCCCTTTGTGCTGCTCAGCTGACTGAGAAACAGCTGAGAGTGGTGGAAAGGAGAACTACATGGGGGAGGGGGGGACTTAGGTGATCAGTAGTGTTGTGACCCAGGTAGATGCCACACAGTGGGCCAGAAGCAACCTGGGGAGTGTAGATTGCACACTTCTGAACAAGAAATAGAAAAAAAGGAAGGTTTCTTGGAGCCTATGCATACAGATCAGATAATGTGCATATTGTCCTGGGAACGTACAAAATGCAGTCAATATATGTACATTCCCCAAGGCCTGTTGGGGATTATGCATAATGGCAAAAGAATGTTAAAAATTAAGCCACAATATGCACATTTCAAAAGATGCATAATAACCAGGAAATGTGCACACTCCCCTCTTCACTGAAGTATAATGTGCACATTCTCAATGAGGCCTGGGGAATAAGCACAATGGCCTGTTATGCACATTAAACACTCAACATTCCCTATAACACTCCACCTCTCTCTTCCCCTCTATATCAGTTAGTACCTGTCCTCTTCTGCATCCAGTGGCCTCTGGAAATCGTTCCAATAAGGCACATGTTTTGGGAACACTCTTGCATGCATTTTCATTTTTTCTTCCTAGAAGGAGGGGGGAAACCACAACTTAAGCACCAGGAATCTGAATTCTTAAAACAAAAGATTAATCAACCCTTAAATTCTCCTTCGTTAACCTTCAAAGTTATTCAAACACTTGAAAATTCTCTCTCTGTAAAATTCATAAGTTTATTTAAGTCTATTACAAGTCCACAGACCTTCTAATTCCAAAAACAAATATTGATTCTACGCAAAGAGGGATTGATGGGAAAAGCCTTCCAAATTATGAGAAAGCCCATCCACAGTACATTTTTCATTGTTAATAATTTGAACAAAAAAACACAGTAGGACAAAAACATAGTATCTCTGTAAATTCTGTACAAGTTTCTTATAAATCTAAATAGCTTGGTATACAAAGTTTGCAACTGATTCAGTTACACGTGTGTGTGTGTGTGTGTGTGTGTGTGTGTGTGTCAACACCAGGAAGACTGGTGGGCAGAGTTCTGTTGCACTCATGTCTTGCTTGCAGGCATCCCACAGGTGGCTGGTTGGCCACTGTGCAAACAGCAGGTTGTTCGACTAGATGGGCCTCGGGCCCAATCTTCTAATGTTCTTATGTACATGTCAGGGACTGGACTGAAGAAGAGGTTTGGGAATCGCCTCCTCCTCCTCCTCTGCTTCCCTCGGAGGAGGAGGGGTAGTGGGGGGGATCGCCCCTCCTTTTCCAGTAGTTTCAAGAGAAGAGGGATCCAGGATTGTATTACAGCAGAATGCAGAGCTTCCAAGTTATGAGATCTTAGGAGAAGGAGGGGGAGTTGGAGAAATGCCAGCAGAGACTTCCTTGGAGAGAACAGAAGCTCCTCCACCACCGCGTACTCATCGCTCACTTAGAATTCAAGAGCAAAGGGCTCAACAACATTTGACTCCTGAAGCCTCCCATAGAGCCACAGGCTGTTGCTGGAGAAAGAAGGGGATGGGCTCAGAGTGAGCAACGTCACCATGGAGTTAAGGACTGGATTGTTTTCCTTGCTCCATGATTACTGAATAAAACCATATATATGAACTTTCTTGTTTCTTCTTTGATCCCTGGTGCTTCGGGGGGGGGGGGAGGAGAGCATCCCTCGAGCCTAACAGTACATCACTCTGCTGGAAAGGAAGTGATCAAGGGGAAAAGAAGACTGCTTCTTATGTCTCTATAAAATATGTCACAACAGTCACATGCATAGGAAAATTCCTAACTTTTTACTGCCATGTGGACAAGCATGATCCTCGTATCAGGAAGTCTCGAGTGCCAATTGGACTTGCTGTTCCTCTTTTTTCCTGTCAGCCCCTTTCCCCCAGTCCTTGCACAAAAGTGGGCAATGGCAGGAATGAGAAGGGTAAGCAGCTTCCACTTGCCTCATCCCCTCCCTTTGTGAGGCTGAATGTGTTGGCCACAGAGAGAAAGGACAGGTGAACCAAAAGTGGTGATAGTGTCAAGGGGGATGTGGGCCCACTGAGGACACCTGGCCCAAATAGATTGGATCCAGCACTTGCTGTAGAACAGCCATGCATTTTCATTTTATTGCAGTCTGGCTTCACAGGAACAAACCCATTTCCATTAAAATTACAGCTTTTATTAAAATTGCAGAATGGAAACTGAGTGACCAGAGAGAAAGGGGAATTAGCGCTTACAAACCTTGCTGCCAGAGAGTAAACTGGCTCCAGTCACCTTTTTCCCGCAAGTTCTCGTCTTCAGGCAGAAAGAGCCCCTTTCCTCTATCCATCACAGCAAGTCCTTCATCTCGAATCACCTTCCAGTTTCTCTCTAAGGACTGAAAAGGCAAAAAATACCAAATAATACATTAATTTAGTATTTAAAGAGCATTCTGATTTATTTATTTTTAGCTTAAAAATACACAGCAGCAGTAAGAAAGCATTTAGCATTGTTAACAAGCTTTCCATTTTCCATTCAGTTAAGGGTTTAAAACAAAACGATCCATGTAGTTTCTTAGTTTCAATTACCTTCGCATCATAAAAATTTCAATAATCCCCAGCCACCTACCAAAGTGGCCTCCACTTTAATTTGCTTTTGATTAGCCGAGGGGGGTGTTCAGCAGATCATTTTATACTATGCGCTAACAAGAGTATTGATCTTCACAGTCACAGCGCACCAGAGTTTTCAATACCAAGAGAGCTAACAGAGCATTGAGAACAATACTTTGAATTCCAGAAATAAATGCAGCACAATGTACACATGTCTTTTAAGTCTGTAATGACATGTGAAATCCTCAGTGCGCCCCGCACTTCACTCTGTTGCAAGAGTTGGCCCCAGACAAGTTGAGAGAGCAGAACATTCCCATAGCCCAAGGTGCAAAGTTAGAGGAGCACCTCTTTTCCAGAGCACTTCCCTCAAATTTCTGATTTGCTGCTAAAGCATCAAGAAGGAGTAACTCCTACAGCAATATGACTTCAACAAATGTTGAGATCCCAAGGCCTTCCCACCTCTATCTCACCCACATACTGTTTAATGGCATTACAGGAATTCCCTAAAGAAAGGGTAATGGCATTGTTTTTAGTCCACAAACTTAACTCAAGCAACCAATAGCACTTGCCATCATCACATTTTCCCAGACAAAGCTTTCCACAGATTCTCTATGTACTTATTGATGTTAAGAAGAGTTAATCCTCTTAATTTACAACTTAATTTCATCAGCAAAACAGAATCTTTATCTTCTGTTGCCTAAATGATTTAATTCGTGCATCTGTCTGCCAAGCAATTCTTTTGCTATTTAACATCACAGAGGCACTTGCAAAGCCAGATTATGCGCCATGCAATTAACTGGGCACTGCTTTCATTTCCAAAGAGCAATGCAAATACATTGTGGTTAATGACTGATACCAGCACCTGGCAATGCCCAATGTAACAAGGTGTCGGAGAAAAGGGAACTGAATCATGGTCTCTCTTATGCAGAATGGTCAACTCTGGTGTTCAACAGATATGAATTTCAGTTCTACATGGATACTAGTTCTTCAGTCACTTGAGATTCATTCCCTGAAAAGCTTGGGGAAAGCTCAGGTATCCTCATTTGTGTGAAATATGTGCACCATTATTGAGCCTTCCTCAAGTGTAGAAAGAAATCTGCATGGTAACTAACTCAATCACACAGGTCAAAGACATTCCAGATTGCTTTGCAAACTGACAATATAGGACATTGTTTAATCAATCATTTCCAGTTACTTGGTTATTATCTAAGAATGGCACTGCTGTGATCCTTCCTAAATGTCAAAGCAGCATTATTAGGAAAATGTACAAAGTTACCTGCCTTATTTCTTTCTTTTTGCTGCCAACAATATTTCTGATGACACTAGAATAAACTGACGGTACTTTTAATGATCTGTATGTAATCTAAACAATATACTGAGGACTGACAAAGGTACCACTTGATTTGCTTGAATCAATAATAATGTACTATAGGATGTCAGAACAGAAGCTGAAAGGATCAGGTAAGGGAATATCAATTCACCAACACAGGGAACAGCTTTACTCAAGTTAAACGCAAGCTTTCCTTATCTGAAACACAGATAAGGATGGTGATTTTCTTATGGCCTGTGCAGTGCTGCGATTCAATAAAGATGAATCCTGGACTGCCTTGCCAAGCGACTTGTGCCAGGTTCCCTCGGGTGTAACTGTTCTGGGTGGCCTTTGGCTGAACACTTCCTCCTTTGGGGTATGTTTGGTATGCTGATGTTTTAATTCTGATGGCTGCCTTGTAATTGTTATTGTGGTCCTAGTTTCTCATGCTAATATTTCATTATTAGGTGCGATTGTTTTATATTACTTTTTTTTGAATCGTTGGCACTTTGAACTTCTAAGGAATTTAAGTAAAATAAATGAAATAGCTAGCCGTCTTCAAGTATTTAGCCTGAACACATGAAAACAAAATGCACATACTTCACTTGCAAAAGCTCTCAGGAACCATCTCCAGACAGCACTCGCAGAGAAATTTGCTGCTGCCAGTCTGTGCAGACAAAGGGTGGCCGAACTTTTTCAGCCTGAGAGCCTCACTGATGGTCAGCTACCTTTCTGAGAGCTGCATGATAGCGGTGGGTGTGGCCTAGGTATGTGTGTATACAAATATATTACAAATACACACACACCCAGCATTTCCAGCTCTCCCCACTCCAGTGCTGCCATGAGGGGTGGCTGAAAACTTTGCTTTTTACATATCATTTTGGGCAAAGTAAAAGGCAGCATTTCTTTTCACATCAGCACATCAGTGGGGCTTGGTCAGGAGTGGAGCAGGCATGCACAGCACACTGGGGCTGGGACATGTATCCCTTGAAGGGCTGGATGTGGGGCAAAGTGGGTTCAAGTTGATTATTCTCAGAACACACTCCCCAGTACTGTCAGATACACCTGAACTGAAGCACAGGTGAAATGGTTTAGTCTTGGCTAAACAGTAACCATAGTCAAAAGCCAAACTAGACAGCAGAGTATGCCCATGCTTCTCTCTTGCATTTTTGGGTTTTTTTGTTTTTGTTTTACTAAATAGCTTGGGAGGAGTGATCTGGCTTAGGACCATGAAAGGAATAATCCTGGTCCCTCTGCAACTACTATTTAATGAACAGAAATCAAGCACATAAGGGCCCATCATGTGCAAACCATGGCATCTAGTCTGTGCCTAAGCCCCTATTAAGCAATATTAACTTCCATAATGTTAAACGGAGGCACAAAAAGCATGTGATGTGAGCAAAACTGTGTTTCCAAACACAGACCCACCCTATTTAGATGGAAAGCTAGCATGGAGAGTGTGATTCAGAAGACCAAACAGGCAAATGATCATGGAGTGATGAATCCACCACTGCTACTCTCAAAGTCCATCCTTTGAATCGCTTTGCTCCAAAGTGGGCTTTGATACTGGAAGTAGGGCCAGCTTGGAAGAAAGCAATTGGAAGTGAGTGTGGGAGCTTCAAGGAAGGGTCAGCACTGTTATGCCTCTTCAATGCTTTGCATCTTACACTCCACAGCCAGATTTACATACAAATAGGACAGAAACACATTAAAATACATTTTTAACATAGTCTATAAACCGGGCTCAACACTGAATAGACTGAATATGAATAAGACAAATACTTTGCACTGTACATAAGATCAAAGGCTGCCAAGTCAGTTTGTTTTGAGCACCTTTTCTGCAAACAAATTCACAAATTTGGATTGCAATGGCTTCAGAGAGAAAACTTGTCTGGATTTCTCAGTTTTAATAAGTAAGAAGGAATAGAAGCACAAATGACTGAAACAGCTGTCTTTATTAAGCTTGTTACTACTCTCCTGAGAACGTTATGGCACTTTTCGCTTGCAGCAAAAACACAGCTCATTACTAGAATTACCTTTTTTCAAATATTGAAATAATTTTATACAGCATTAACATGGAAGCATGAGGACTACAAATGTTCTTCTCATATGTCTTCGCAACTTATATTTCTAATTCCTTAGGCAAACTTCCAACTGTGCAAGCTACTTCAGGCATCTAAAACATAACACCAATTAGAGCAAAATATATACGTGCATCAGCAGAAGCATAGGCTGTTATGCATACAAAACAGCACAGATAAACATCAGTTGACAGTATTACCCAAGGAACAGCCCCTCTAGTACTACATCACTGCACTGCTTCATCATGATGCTTCATGCATCTCACTCAGATTTCTCTTTTTTATAGTTAGCAAATATTAGCTAGACTGATTACAAGGCTGTGATTCCACATGGAGAAAAGCTTTTTGCTCTTCTGACTAAAAATAGAACAACATGAAATATGCGACATTGCAAAGAATACCAGGATACCTGAAGATAATGTCCAATTCCCTCATTTAAAATAAAATCTGAGGTGGGAGATGTAAGGCATTATTTGGTACTTTCTCCAGAAAGATTTTTTGGGGGTGCATATACAAATTAATAGAAAATTACAATCATGAAGACTTGGGGAGACTGAATTTGGACAATGAGACCCCACCTGGCTCAAACTAAGTTACCAAAATCAGCAACAAAAGAAGAAAGTGCCCCCCCACACAGTTGGTCTGTCTTTGTGAAAATGATATACTGATGTTTTTTTTAAAAAAATCTTCCAAGTACTCCAATGCTTTGCGTCTTTGTCTATGTACGTTTTGTATGTAATGGACCCAAGTGTTCAAAAGTATGTCTACAAAAAGTTAACATACCCACAATGGGAGCCAAAGGGAGCAGGTGGGAGTGGAAAATGGCTCTTTAAAGTTTCCTTGATCCAAGACAATGTTTTTGTTACCTCTGTGGGGATTTCTGCTTCTAGAAGTTTTGGGCTTTTGTGGATATATTTGTTAGCAAATAAAAAAAAACCTGTGAAGATTCAAAGCAACAAGTATTTTAAGGTAGCTCAAATCTTTTCCAGACAGGGCAAGAATTTCATTCTCTCTGTATGTACCTATAAATATATGTGGGTACAAGTGAACAAAAATGAATCACTTCCAAAGAAATAGGATTATGTCTGCTGCTCTGAAACTGAGTTATTTTCAGGTCTGTGTGCTACTTCTTGAATAAGGCAGGTGCCTTAGTCTTATAAATATTTCTTGGGAAAGAAAAGATTGATAATGAGCATCTTGGAATATACATGCTTATGAGCCTACAGCTTGGAAGCAGGCACCCATGGGTTCTGTTTCATGATCTGTGTCTGAATGAGAACATGTGGGTGTCTTTCCCCTTTTCTGACTGGTGTCCTGTAACTAGTCATGATTACATTGTGCCACTAGGTGCAACTAGATGTAGCACCTTATGGCCAAACACAAGCATTAGCTCTCTTGGGGGGAACAAAAATAAATAAATAAAGGTTCATTTAGTCTCCAAAGCAGCCAGACTATTCCATCATGGGATGCAGATTTAAGAAGCCCACCTGAGCTTTGAGTGTGCAGACTTACCCTACGGACCATTGATTTCAACAGGGCTTTCCTACAAGAAAGCATGGTGATGGTCAAAATGAATGAGGATATTCATGCTAGAGAACATTTCTTGTAAGGGAACATTATCCGTGCTAACATTAAAGCATGTTCAGTAAAACCAGATGTTTTAGCCTTTTACAGGGACAACAAAATTTAATAATGTGTGTGATCCTGTTAAAATGGGGAGGGAGTATAAGTCTTCTTCTTATTAACATGGAACATTAAGAAAAAAAGCAAACAAGTAAAATAGATGGCAGCCTCTAAAGCTCCTCTATAATCTGTTCTAGAAATGGAAATCTCACTGACGTTTTGAAAAAAGAACAATAATTGATGATTTAATAACAGAGTCTAAATTGTATTTTAACAATAGCAGAGAATAGTGATTATAAATAATTTAGCTGTCTATCTCAAGGGCTACAAACAGTGATGAGTTTCTTCTCTGTTGTCTGAGTTTTGTATTTATTCAGTTGGCCTGATGTTGTCTACCTTCTGCAATTAAACGTCCCAGTGAAGCCTCTAAGAGTTATGAGAGCACAAGGGAAAACAAACCGGCATGTTATCCACTAATTACAACATTCAGCAATTTAAGGCTTGCCTCCCAGTAATTAGTGTAAATTACAGACTTACTACGGCCATAAAAACTCAAGTGGTCCAGCATGTACATTTTTTTGTGTTCGCTCACTTCCACGACTCATTCCCTTAGCAGAAGAAGGAATGTCACACAATGGACTATGGCTCCCACTGAAATCAAGTTAGTCACATGACTTACTTAGGTCCTGCTGATTTCAGTTGGTCTACTCTAAGTATGACTCAAGTCTGGAACCAAGCTTAGGTGTCAGTCACAAGGAATAAAGCAGCATATTGTTCTATCTGCTGAAGTCTGATCTTATGCATGCTTCCTGAGAAGTAAGTTCCACTGTGTTTAATGAGATTTAATTCCAGGTATGTATTCAGAGAACTGCAGCTGTGGAATCTACTTCAGACAAAAATCTATATAGGAGAATTAATGAAATGTAGATTTTTATCCTGATTATTATTATTTTGTATTTTTATCTCCAATATTTTCCCTCTTGCATTTTTCTATGTATGCATTGTGCTTGCAAATAATTTCAGTTTTCTTTTTGGCATCATGCAATATGCAGAAATTTCTGCTGATAACAATCTATAAAGTAAAAGAAGGCATACTGCTCACCTTGACCAGGTCTGTATAACCTGTTTCCTTTGCTGTCCACCATGGCTGAGCCTTTAAACCCTTGACATTGTAGAGAGAGCGCTGCCAGACAGATGCAAAGTGACCCCGCTGGTGCCCAAGTTCATACCACTTGTATGCCTGGAAGATTTTAATTTGTTAACAGCTCATTTACATTAGTTACACTTCAGCAGAAAAGGATAAATCAATAACAAATATCATATGCTAGCAAATTCCTCTGTGCATGCTAATGATGCTTAGTGATTGTTCCCCTATAGCATCATCACAAATAACCAGCTGAGATGCAGTGATTTGGGAAAAGAGAACAGAGGTGGATACAAACAATTTAAGATCTTTTCCACGAAAACCTGCAGCACCAAAGAATTCAGGGGCACTCAAGCATACCCACCATCCACGTGGAATATGGATGTGCCTATAGAAATTCCTACTAGGATGCTGCTCCAGTTCTGCCCATCTTGTAATAAAACACAAAAAACAAAGGCAGCTTCTCTACCAGCATACAGTGTTCTCTTGTCACCTCCTGTAAAAAAAAAAAAATCTATCTGCCTTCCATGGATAATATCTGCAGGGAAGCTACCAGTATTGGCAGTTAAGTGGTGAGGCCATTTTGCAAAACCACACCCACAGTGGCCCACGAGAGTTGTGGGATGCCAGGGTCTGGCCTTGCAGCTGAATCTGATTCCTCATCCTTACTTCAGTAAATAACCAGAAGTGCAGAAATTAATCAAAAAGTATATGCTGAAAGTTTTCTTTAAAATTTTGTCCCTAATGTCAATCCACAATCCTATAACCAGTAAGCCGCTCAACTACATCACAAAGAAAGGAACTCAATATACTGGACTCTAAAGACACAGAGGTACAGAGAAATAGGCTTTAAGCTGTCTTTGCAGCAATGCTGTTAGAATTTTTTTTTTTTAAAAAAAGGCAATTAACTAAGCTTCTTCTCTGTAGCCATTTCTATGCACTTCCTTACAGAAGAAATGAGGTGGGGGAATCCTACTTAAACATCAGTAACTAGGAAGCAGTTTGGTGTGATCCAGCTAAGTGTATTCGTAAATAAACGTAGCTTATATTGGATTTCACCCACTGCAATGCCATCTCAGACACCACTGCACTGGGAATTTCCCACTTCTTTATGCAGGGTGCCTCCGACCATTCAGCCTTTTGTTATGGTCCACGTAAAAAGCTTTAGGAATTTTGGCTGTGTGAATTAATGCAAAAACTGAATTGGATTTATACCCAGCTCTTGCTCCCTAGGTAGAGTCAGCTTCTTCTAATTGGTTTGACTAAGACCACAGCCCTATTTATTTCCAAGTCTTCCCTTGAACCCTTCTGTCTGCTTAACAACCTGCAATTTCATCATAGCCTCTGATGAGATTTGGAGTTTGGCTCTTTGCTGTGCTTCCTGCTTCAGGTTCCTGACCAATCTCACACTCTGGACACATTAGGGCCAAAGTCAACTCAGATCTTATTTGCCTTTTCAGATGAAATTCATTGAACCTCCATTAAACTCTACCTCTTTGTTTCCAACTCTCTGCATGGCATCACCCAAATGGAAATAAAAGCGCCCATCGTCAGTGCCTGGGTCTCCTGATTCTAGACCTTCCTAGAGGGATCAGAAAAGAATGCCAGTTATTCATTTTTGTGTTCTAAAAAAGCTTTTCAGTTCCACAGCTAACAAAATGTAGCAGTGTGGATAGCTGCTATTCAGGATTTGAGCCAGCTATGCCCTTTACTAGGAAACTCTATTCCATTTCCCCAGCTTTCAATTTTTCCATCATTCCATGTCCATCAAGTTGTTTTGAGTCTCCCCCACCATAAAGATTTCTTGTACTTCTGAAATCTTTAAGGATCCCCCAAGGCTGCTTATACATTAAATTGTACTGTCATTTGGGCTGCCTAAAGACCCACATGCAGACAGTAAGTCAATTACTACTATATAGTATGCTTGTATTTATATAATTCTTTCTCAAAGATATATTATCTTAAAATTCCTATAATGTATTATAGTGTACATGCTTTCTGTTCCTTCAAAGGATGCATAATCAATTATCTATCACTCTCTTTTCCCCATGTCTTCTCTGCTATTGTGTGTCAACTCTACTATTTCTAATGGAGGTGGAGAGTGGCCATGGTGTGTTTCCCCCACAAATGTTTACATGATTATATGGACTTGTGAAAATGTCTCTACATGGGAACTTGCTTCAGAAGAACCATCTCAAACGTGGTTGTGTGAACTGGCTCTTAGAGGGCAGGGAGTAAGTTGCAGTACTAAATAACTGACCTGAAGCCCCATCCTGGAAAAGAGATCTTTCATCCAGGGGATGGATCAACATAGTAGTGATAGCAGCAGTAGTAGTAATAACAATAACCACCATCATCCTATACCACCATTCATCCAAGGATCACAGGGCAGTTTACAATATAAAAACACAAAAATGTATACCATTTTTGTAACAAAAAACCCCAAGACCCCCCACAGTTAAAAAGTCCATTGATTGTTTAATTAGCCAAAGGTATGGGAGAAGAGGACTGTTTTGCCTTGTGCCTAAAGATAAGTAGCAAAGGCACCTGGTGCCCTGGGGAAAGCATTTTGCAAGTGGAGAGTCACTGCAAAAAAGGCCCATTCTCGTGTTGCCACCTTCTGAACCTCTCATGGAGGAGGCACATGAAAAAGGGTCTCAGATGGTGATCACAGAATCTGGGTCAGTTCATATGGGGAAAGGAGGTTTTCACGACCCTCTAATATTAAATAGTACAATTTTGACCCTTCACATATAATTTCCTCCATTTATTGTGCTTTTACTTTTACTTTTAAATAGGGAATGCTTTCTGCAATCTTGTTCTCTGCCTTCAGGATGAAGCCATAATGCACTTTAGCAAAGCCGTCATTAGGAGCCAGGCTCAAAACCTGTGGAAAAACCAAAACAAAAAATAATTAGGGCTTTACCTCTGCAGTGATTTTGAATTGTTTACAGAGACATAGCTATATATTAGTTCTTGGCTCAAAATAAGGATTTATTTCCATTAGTAGTCCACAAGCAGACCACTGGCTAAGGGTTTTGACTATGCATTATTGAACATGTATGTCTAATTGGAATTGTCCCTGCCTTTTCTCTTGCCTGCAAGGTCATGCAGCAGACTTCTTGGATTAATTCAGCACAGTCATATAGGCTGGAATTACATATTGTGTGTCACATGGAGATGCTTCAAAATTGCATTAAAAAAAATAAATTTTATTAGAGTTTGGAAAAAGGAACACAAATATTATTTATTATATTTTTTATCAACATTAAAATGTTAATCTAAATAAAACCAAAAACTAAAAAGAAAAAGAAAAGAGAAAGAGAAAAGGAGATAGAGAAGGGATAAATTAGGAGACAGGAGAAGAGAAAGATGAAATAATGAAGGAAAGAAAGAAAGAAGAAAATAAGGAACATACCCTGTGATGTGTTTTTATCAAGTCATGAGACTTCATGTCTCACTCCATATTATTGGCTCCCATTGCTAAAGGCAGGGAAACTCACAACTTGGTGATATCATTATATAGACTGAAGCCCCCCCCCTTGATATTTTGGACTAGAACTCCCATCAGTCCCAGACAACATGGTCAATAGCCAAGGCGGATGGGAGTTGTAGTTTTAAAAAAAATGTGGCGGGCACCTGCTGGGTTAAGTGAGCCTAAATGTTATGGAGCAGAGGGGGGGGGGACTCAAACAGGAGGGGAGCCATTTTTGGCAATACTTCCACTTCCATGCTGCATGTAAGGTGCCGTTCCATCCTCAGCCATGGACAAGAAGCTGTGCTGATATTCATGGTATGGCCTTCATTTTTAAACAACATACCAAACATCAGCTTTGACATTTGCACAATGGATTCTTATGAAAAGAATGTTTAATTAGTACAGTGGTACTTCAGGTTACATATGCTTCAGGTTACAGACTCCGTTAACCCAGAAATAGTACCTCGGGTTAAGAACTTTGCTTCAAGATGAGAACAGAAATCGTGCGGCGGCGCAGCAGCAGCAGCAGCAGCAGCAGGAGGCCCCATTAGCTAAAGTGGTGCTTCAGGTTAAGAACAGTTTAAGGTTAAGAACGGACCTCCGGAACGAATTAAGTACTTAACCTGAGGTACCATTGTACACAGAACTGTGGGAGCAGAGAAGGAAGGGAATTCTTCCTGCTACTGTGTCTCCTTCAGCCATTTAACTAATGCAGAGTTCAGGACTGACCTCAAAACACTCGTCTATCTGTGGCACAAGTTGGGAGACAGAGCGTTTGCCTTCAAATTTCTTGAACTAGAGAAATCCCTTGAAGAAAGTTAAACCAAGATCTATTGCGCTTTGAAAACAAAAGCAGCTTTGATTTTTACAAAGCCTGTATTTAATGTATTGTGTCTCAGTGCCAGACTACTAGATTCAAAGGGGAAATAGCTAATCGGAGAAAAATGAAATGCTATCCCTTTCTTGACACTGCCTTCAAGCTGTGATACAATGGAAGATCTTAAAAAAATTGTTCGCCAAGAATGGACAAGTTTCCCATTGGGTTGAATTCCAGCTATAGGAATAAAATTCTTTGATTCAAAGTTCACTGTTTAGGTTCATTGCTGAAGGTGTGTGTGGCAGGGGAAATAGGAAAAAAGATTCAACATGACCAAACTGCTGAAAACAGAATTTAGGTCAACCATGAACACAGAGATTTCCTAGAAGTTATTCCTACTGCTGACCCACAACTTCTCATTCTAGTGCTACCCTTTTGCCAACAGAAGGGAGGTGAAGAGAGGGTGAAGGGATTTTCTGATTCTCGTTGGGCATCAGCAGACGGTGGTTCATGGGTCTTCAACCACATTGCAATGCCTCTAGTCAGATTTCAAGACTCTATTCATAACAGAACCTGAGGTCCTCCAGAAGTTGTTTGGTGCCAAGACCCATCAGCCCCAATCAGCATGGCAAAGAAAATGACGGGAGTTGTAGTGAACAACATCCAAAGCACCACACATTCCTCATCCCTATTTTATAGGGTACAGAACTAGCTACTTTATACTTTATATTTAAACTTGAAATGAGTTATGATACTCCGCCTGGGATACCTAACTTTGTTTCTTCATCAGTCCATTTCACATGTATTCTTTAACTTTTAAAATGTAACATCTTTGAGCATTTTGTAAATGAGATATGCTTTTAAATTGATGTACAACTGCAGCTGGCTGGAATTAAAGTGACTGCTTCAGGAAGCAATGCCCTCACTTTCAATGACGTTCAGTTGCCTTCAGTGGCATTATCATACAGTCAGATTTGAATGTCTACCAATAATAATAATAATAATAATAATAATAATAATAATAATAATAATAATAATAATAATAATTTATTATTTATACCTTGCCCATCTGGCTGAGTTTCCCCAGCCACTCTGGGCAGCTCCCAATCGAGTGTTAAAAACAATACAGCATTAAATATTAAAAACTTCCCTAAACAGGGCTGCCTTCAGATGTCTTTTAAAGATAGGATAGCTGCTTATTTCCTTCACATCTGAAGGGAGGGTGTTCCACAGGGTGGGTGCCGCTACCGAGAAGGCCCTCTGCCTGGTTCCCTGTAACCTCACTTCTCGCAATGAGGGAACTGCCAGAAGGCCCTCAGCGCTGGATCTCAGTGTCCGGGCTGAACGATGGGGGTGGAGACGCTCCTTCAGGTATACAGGACCGAGGCCGTTTAGGGCTTTAAAGGTCAGCACCAACACTTTGAATCGTGCTCGGAAACGTACTGGGAGCCAATGCAGATCTCTCAGAACCGGTGTTATGTGGTCCCGGCGGCCACTCCCAGTCACCAGTCTAGCTGCCGCATTCTGGATTAATTGCAGTTTCTGGGTCACCTTCAAAGGTAGCCCCATGTAGAGCACATTGCAGAAGTCCAAGCAGGACCTAGAGTCATGGTACAATCCTGTTCACATGCTTTTTAGTAGTTTTCCCATGCGAAGGAATGAAGAGTTAGAAGAGGAAAAGGCAAGTATCTTGTAGTTTGAACAAGAAGCTACACAACAGGGAAACCACACATAGCCTATGCACACTTTAGCGCAACCGTAAGAGGAAACATTTGCAGTGTTTGGACTGGTCAAAATGAGGGTACCATGGCCTAAAAGGCAGGGGTGGCTACCCTTTTTCAGCTGAAGGGCTACCCTGATAGTCAACTAATCCAAGGACTGCATGCCTGTGGTAGGTGTTGCCAACACATATTTATCACACATGCACCACATACAAAACACACACACTCTGCACACACACTCATCCTCACCACAGGGCTTTGAAATTCCATCACTAGGCCGGGCAGGGAAGTTTAAACCACTCTCCCTCAGCTCACCCCTGTCATGGGCTGATTTGTCCATCACAGTATTGGGCTGCATGAAGAGGTTTAACCCTTTCCTCTCAGCCCAGGACTGTGATGTACAGATTTTGCCACTGCAGCCCTGGGTAATGAAGAGAAGTTCAGGCCCAACTGGCACAATGGAAAAGAAAGCCCCCATCTGCATAATTTGCAAAGTCATACTCCCTCTTGCCTGGAATCGTTACTATGAGGAAACAGCACAGAATGCTCCTTCCTGGTTCCTGTCTGGTAAGACCACCCAGCAATGAAGCCTTTGCAGAGGGAGATGTGTCCGATTTTGCTGTGGGATGGCGGGGCTGCGGCAATCACCTTTCAGCCCACTGGTTCACCACCTATGCTATAAAGAGGCAGATGCATACTTTTATTGTTTTCAAAATTGTAATGTTCTTAAGCCTTGATCAACCTGTGGTACTTAAAAAAAAAAGTTTACATATTCTTAATAGAAGCTCACCTCCTCATAAACCCTCTTGGCATTGCTGTTGTCGCCAATCAAAAGGTAACCCACTCCTAGATTGTTCTTGAATGAAGTATCATTGGGAAACAGGCTAACAAGTTTTTGCAGTGTAACCAAGGAGCCTCTCATGCGACCTAATTGAATTGGACAAACAACAACAACAACAGCTTGGTTACAAGTAGGAGTAGTCTGGGATATAGCAGAGGAGGTAGCCAATCCAGTGCCGTCCAGATGTGGTTGGACTCCCATCATCTCTGCCTATTGGCCATCCTGACTGAGGTTGATGGGAGTCCAGCAACATCTGGAGAGCATCATGTTGCTCATGCCTGCAATACAGTATCTTCAGCTGTTAAATGGGCTCAAGTGATTAAATATATAAAAAGTGTACATTACTAAAGACCGATAACACAAAATGTAAATATGCACGTAAAAATATATGAGTATTTTTCTCACTGATCTCTTTTACTACTAATTTTAACAGTTATGCCTTAGGAAAGCAAGCTGGTGGGTTGTATCAGTCAGTCTTATGGAGACCTCTTGTGGACAACTGTGGCATTCCTCATATCACAGCTTTCATTGGACAGTGGTAATAAGGGGGTTCACAGCGTGGATAGATATGCCAGCAATGAATCTCCAGTTCTTTAAAGTGCACGTTTAAAGCTGCTGCTATTTTTCAACTACATTAATTAAGGGTATAAATAAACTGCAATTAATTCAAGTGGGGGGGGGGGGATGTTCAGACTTCCTGGCTCACAGGAAGACAGTTGCTCACAATATTTGCTTAACATTTGTCCTTTCCATGAATCTGGGAGACACCTGTTTCTATCTACTTCTGTTCATTTCAAGTCATGCCTGTGATTTAATGCCACTGGAAAGAGACCAACAGTTTAAAACACAAATGCAGTGATGTACACAGGGTTTTGGGTTTTTTTGTACAAGCATATCTGTGGTCTGTACAATATGATTTGACTCTGTGAAGCTGTATACAGTGGTACCTCGGGTTACATACGTTTCAGGTTACAGACTCCGCTAACCCAAAATAGTGCTTCAGGTTAAGAACTTTGCTTCAGGATGAGAACAGAAATCGTGCTCCGGCGGCATGGCATCAATGGGAGGCCCCATTAGCTAAAGTGGTGCTTCAGGTTAAGAACAGTTTAAGGTTAAGAACGGACCTCCGGAACGAATTAAGTGCTTAACCTGAGGTACCACTGTACAGGTAACACAGCTGTATACTGTTGAATATGCATTATCAAATATTGGCAAAAAAAACCCCACCCCTATCAGGATATTAAAACCAAGTATCAATGTCAAATTCAGATAGAAATCATTTGGAACAATATTCAAGCAACTGAGCAGTATCTGTAGAAAAAATGATGTTAAAATTCACAAGGAGGATTTTTTGAGACCAAATAGGTTTCAGTTGCAGTAAACAAAACTTGTCTCCTTCAAAATCTTCTTGGCATTATATGATATACATCTCTAGTGTGTACTTACCCTTTAAGCTACATTGCACAAACAGTTCTTTTGTTGTTTATCGTTCATGTAACTTTACAAACATATGCTGTATGTATCATCCATTTAATAAAACAACAAAGTCTTTAAAAAACCCCTGGGCATTTTTGAACATTTGACCTGCAGTAAGTACAGATTTAAGATCCTTACCAAGAAATTGTTGCCGATCTGCCCTTCTTTTCAATGTGAGTTTTACCAGATCATCAGGGACATTTGGTAGACTAGCAACTTCACCATACGTACTGATGGATCGCTGTAGTATTTCATTGCTTCTCGCTTTCTCTGCCAAGTCATCCTCACTCTGTGTGTGACCATAAATCATTCATCAGTGCCCAAGTCACCACTTAACTTTTTTGTTTGTTAAAAACAGGTTTTATTCAATTGGTAGTTGTTTGAGATTGGTAAATGTCATTGGGAAAAGGAGACGAACTGCTTTCATTTTAAAGAAGAAGAAGAATTCCTGATTGTAGAAATGGACAAACACCTTCAAGAATTTTGGTGGCTACATACACCAAAATGTGCAGCAAGGAAAATGGAAAAAATGTATTTTAATAGCTGGCGAACAGCCTCTACATAGCCAGCCACAACACTGACTTGAAAAAATAAACAGGTATTTTGTTTCCGTGCTCATCTTTGGAAATGCCTGCAGCTTTGTTTTGTTTTATTCTGGAATTCATTCACCAAATCATGAGTATTTGTTCAAAGGTAGTTATAAATCTGTTTTCACTTCAGAATGACTTTGCTGAATGTAAAGTTGTAATAGAAAGTTGTTTTAACAAAGGGTTAATATGGTGAACTTTGCTGGCTTTTCTGGCTTTGGTTTATTTATTTATTTTAAGATGGCTGTCAATTGAAGAACTGACACAGTTAAGACCTCCATATTTCCATCGTGTAATGTCAAGCAAGCTGATTATAGTGTTGTGCAAGTTATTTTAAGGCTACAAAATGTGGGGTCTAAGCACAAATCACTGGGAATGCCATTGCTTAATTGTATGTAACACAAGAAGCTGAGAGACATCCAAAGGAGAAAAGACAGGAGCCACCAAGCCTCTTCTATTCATGAAAGGAAGTGTCACCTGCTCCCTTCTTTCAGAAGAAATTGGCAGTTACAGGAGCATGAAAAAAACAACCCCAGTGCTAGGATTAAGGAACATTCAGTAAACCACCTGCAAGTTTCACAGCTCTGGGGGAAATGTCCTGGCCTCACTGAATAAGAGCAAGATCATTCACATTTCCCATTGTGTTCATCCTGGAGATGACTGGATTTATAATCTAGGACAAATAGAGACACACACAACTAGACAATTTGTCTTTCCATACATTGCTTGCTCATTTTTTACCTGCGCTTTTCCATATCTCGCCCGTGGGCTTTGGGGATACTTGTTGACTAATGCTTCAAATGCCTTCAAAGCTTCCTCAGCTTTTCCCTAAAGAAAGCCATTGTTATCTGAAGTAATTTGCAAAATAACATGTGTAGGAAAAATATTAACATTCATTATTATTTACATTTCCAATAAAAGTGCTGAGAAGTCACCAGCTAACAAAGCGGCTAAAAATAATTCGGTCATTTATAAAACATTTTTTTGTGGGAAAAGGAAGTAGGCACACAACACTTACAGTGACAGCTAGGGAAGCTATCTGTTATAGTTTGGTAATGTATAATACACCTTTTAAATAAACACAGTGTATGAGGTCGGGATTGTTGTTGCTTAAATAAAAATAAAATATTAACATTATTAAATGATTGTGGAAGGGAATGGCAGGGGAATCTAAAATATCAGCACTAGAGTGGGTTGATGACCACAGGCAGTGGATTTTGAGTGTCATGGAAGAGCAACAAGTTATTATATTTTTGTACCCAGGGAAAAGTGCTTGTGGGATTTTATGTCTTAGATGCTAAAATAAACCAGCTAGGTTTGGGCTCAGGGTGGGGGGGGGAGAGAGGAGACAGAAGAGAGGGAGAGGGAGAAGGTGGTATTTACTGCTCTTCCTCAGGGAGGGAAACATCTGGGGCCATCCCTGAAATTTCCCTTTTTGTTATGAAATGCCTTAAAGTCAACATCTTGAGGGGGGGGAAAGCATATTGAGGGCTATTAAAACACATAAGCAAAAAATTGGTTGAATATGATGGGTGGTATTCATTTGAGTTTTACTCAGAGTAATCCTACTGAAATTAAATACACAATTTAAGGCATCAAAGTGAAATTATTTAGGTACCTTCTTATGGGCTATTTCACAGCTGTGAAATCCTTGAAAGCATCGGTTATGAAGAGGTATGCAAATATGAGAAAAATATATAGATTTTAAAACTCAAGGCTGCCATCACATCTGGAAGAACTGCAAGTTTTACTTTATTGGGCCTACTTCCCAGGTTCAGTTGCATAAAATGTCATAGGAAGCAACCATACACTGAATCAGACCATTATTCCACCAAGCTCAGTTTTGTCTACACTGACTGACGGCAGTTCTCCAGGATTTCAGACAAGTCTTTTCCTAGCCTTACCCGGAGTTGCTGAGGACTGAACTTAGGACCTTCTGCATTCAAAGCAGATGCTCTACCACTGAGCTACAGTCTATACATTTTAAAAGTACTGAATCGCTGTCTTTGTCCATCCATTCCTTACAACAGACATAAGCCTATATTGTGATTCACTAGCATTGCCAATAGATGGGTTCACAACCATTTGCAGTGTTTATCAGCACCTTCTAAGGTTCTCTATGTCTAGAATTTTATGCATGGTGCTACTGCCCATCTTTATGTTCTCTCCAGTAACAGCCAATTTAAGCTCAGTCGAATTTCATCGTTACCTTTTTGCGCAGCTTCTCTGCAGCATCAAGTTCAGCTTTAATCTGTTTATCAAATTTATTGAGCAATTTTGGTTTCTTTTTCTTCACTAGAAAAAAAAGAGATTAAAAAGAAATGCAGAATTCTTCCCAGAATTCAGAATTGACTATTTATGAACTTCTTTAACGTCTTAATGCATGCTGAAGGATATCTAACAATATGGAGCAAAACTAGTGTTTTTGTATTTACACAGTTACAATAAGACTATGACCAGTACAAACTGGTGTGTGTGTGTGTAACTGACTTTCCAAAAATAAAGGCGGGGGAGAGAAAAAAGAATGAAAAGAAGAAAAGAACACAAGAGAAAGATAAACTTACATCAAAAAATCTTACAATTCCACATATTGAGATTACCCTATTGACTTCCCCCCATCCCAACAATGGGTCCTTCTTAATTCTATTTTAACTGCATATTGACATTTCTCCAATTATTCCATCTTCCTATGTTATCCATGCTCTCTATTTCATTTAGTGTATTTAGAATCCTGCTAATGTTTTGATCTGTTTGCATTACTTTTGTATATACATTATAATCATTTCGCTTTCTTTTTAAAATTTCTTGTCTTCCAGTCCAAATTGTTAAGAATGCAAGAACATAGTTAGAGCCTACTGACTCAGGACAATGGTCCATGTAGTCGGCATTCTGCTTTCTTAGTGGCCAACCAGATGCTGGTGGGAAACCAGCAAACAAGATCTGGGCACAAGAGCCATCTCCCCTCCTGTGGTTTTTGGTAACTGGTATTACTGCCTCCAACTGTGGAAGCAGAATATAGCCAACATGGCTAGTAGTCATTGATAGCCTTCTCCTCCATGAATTTGCCTAAAGCCATCTAAGATGGTGGCTACCCCTGCTTCCTGCAGGTTGCAGTAGCATCTGGCCAGCACCCAAAAAGGCAACGGTGCCCTCATCACAGCCCAGAGTAGTTACAAACTATCTGAAAGATCACAACTGTCTCTGAAGCCATTGCTAGTCATTGAGCTATTCAAAGTCATTCAGCCACTGGGTTTGTCAGCAACTCCATTTCCCTGTATCGGTGCAGGAGGAAGGGGTAACAGGATAGTAGGATTAAGGATCAATTAACAAAGAACCTCTATACCTGATTTTAAAGCAGGAATTGGGAACCTTGGGAACCCACCCTCACAGATGCTGTTAGATTCCAACTCTCACCACCTTCATCCAGCATGGCCAATGGTCAGGAATGACAGGAGTTGCAGTCCAACAACATCTGGAGGACAATGGGTTCCTTATCCCTGTTTTAAAGGATTTGGCTAAATATATGAACATCATAGGCTTATGGTTATTACCACAATATGACAAATGATCAGCATAAGGAACAAATGTGCAGAACAGGCCATTAGAATCATTTGATCTTATTTTCCAAGACTTGGAAGGCATGCTTTCATGGACTCTTTCCAAGAACACCCATATGCTTCAGGACACTGTGTCGGCAATCCACCATATGGTATCATGTTCCTGAACTATCCAAGTAAATGAAAGGCCCCTGCTTCTGCTAGTGCTGTATAATAGGGACACAAAATGTAGCAAGGTGTATAATGTGAGTGGTCATTATGATGTTGGAAGGTGTTCAGTAGGGCCAGTTCTGGCGTGACTTCTAATACTTGTTTAGTTATTTTGCATATCTCTTGTAAGACTGCTGCTGTCCAGAAGGTTGGATTTTAAGGCATTCCCACCACATGTGGAGGCATGTGCCTGTGGAGGTGCAACCTCTCCAACATCTTGGTGAGGTTCCTGGGCGGATCAGCACCAGTTTCCATGGTGTTAAGTACCACCTGGAGGTGAGTTTCAGAGTGAAACTTTCTTTGGGCTGATATGGACTTAAAGGGAGGTTTAGACCACATTCTAGTCCAATGTGTGGGGTTAATTTCATAGCCTATGTCATCCTCCCATTGTTCTTTGATTGCATCAAGGGGGTTTGTGGGATTTTGGAGCAGTATTTTGTATATTGCGGATACCATCTCTTTGCTGTGTCCCTCACCTGTTAGGAGAAGGTTTTCGAAGGTGGTCAAGGGCCTAGTGGCTGCTGATTTGAATTAAACACAATGCTTTGGGTCCTAACTTAAGGAAGATGGTGATTATGTCACTTGCTACTCAAAGGTCTCCAAGCAAACAGTCTCCAAAAGAAACTTCCAAAACTTGTGCAATAGAATAAGTGAACATTTTCTCTGTTCCATGCACCAAGGCAAAAACTAAACATTCACATTATCTTACCTTTTTCTTTTTGCTGAGTTTCTTTTTCACTTTGTCCTGGAATATGTAAAAAAAAAAGAAAAAAGTTTTGTATCATCACCACAGTGCTATTTTTAAAATGCATACAACTGGAATAATACCCACAAAATAATGGGTATATCTTCATTTTGCAATATTGTCAGGTTTTTAAATCTATCAATGTCCTTATAATAATATAATATAATATAATATAATATAATATAATATAATATAATATAATATAATATAATATAATATAATATAATATAATATAATAATATAATATAATATAATATAATATAATATAATATAATATAATATAATATATAATATAATATAGTTATTATATGCAGAGAGTTAAGAATAATTGTTTCGGTTGTGGTGGAAAAGGTAAGGACTAAAGATCGTATCTATTCATTCTCAATCCACTTCATTCAAATGAATGGAAGTTTTTGCCCTGTCTAATGGAAGTTAGACTCTTAACTTAATAAACCAATTATATTTTTCATCTTCCTGCATTTCAGATTAACATAACTAGTTCTCTCTTGAATATACTGGTAATTTATGTATAGAACTTTCAGACTTCTATATATAGACAACAGTGTGGTGGTGGTTTAATTCAGTTTACCAAACATTTCAGCTCCCTTTACACTATGCCTTACACCTGGTTTATGCATGCCAACCTTCTCTAGCCTTATACCTTCCCAGGTGTCTTGAACTACAATTAACCAGTATGGCCAATGGTCCAAGATGGAAGTGGTACTACCAACATGGAAGGCGGGCATCAGGTTGGGGAAGACTAATAGGTGCCAGTCCCCTCCACCCCAATGTGATTGCTTCTGGTAGAATGTTGGGCAATTGATGTGCGCAATACTTGGTCAAGTTCATGTGCAGTCTCCAACTGTATGAACTGCCATGATCTGAGCTATCATATGTGATTTGAACACCAGTGGGAACTCCCTTCCTGATGCTAATAATAGCTTCTATGGAGTGATTTTCTTCAGGATCATAGTGAGGATTAAACTCCAGCACCGTATCCATTGCAGTTCAAATCCTGAGCAAGTGGTCCTAAAAGTTGTTATTTAGAGTTTTTTAAATATATATGCAAAATTAAGGTCAGGTGTATCTTAGATTACTCCAACCTTGTCAGGACTCAATAACCTTTTTATGTTCAAGACAAATATGTAATGTGTTATTTCCCAACTGCCTTTAGCCTATTAATTAATTTGCATTATATGGCCTGTGTGACAAAAGAATCTTAGTCCCACCCCCCACCCCCATACATTTTGGGACTTTGCTTCTTTTTTGCTTTGAGTTTTGGTGCTAACCGCTTTTCAGTTCCATTGTAACATCTAGCATCCTGTGAAGCAAATTCAGCAGGTTAGTCACATTCATTTGCTGCAATAAAAACAGGGAGCCTTGTGGTACCTTAAAAACTAACATATTTACTATGTCATAATATAGATTTTAGTCTTTAAGATGCCAAAAGACTCTGTGTTGCTCATGTGAAGTAAATTCCTCTGGTTATGTTAAATTATCTGTTTCAGTTCTATCCATAGTATAACACAGGGATGTGGTGGAAGTAATATAACCAGCACCATGGTGCCTTAAAAGATTTCATGATGGCTCAAGAATCAGATCTAGTTTTTCTCTCCTCCTGGCTCACTACAGTGGTACCTCGGGTTAAGTACTTAATTCGTTCCGGAGGACCGTTCTTAACCTGAAACTGTTCTTAACCTGAAGCATCACTTTAGCTAATGGGGCCTCCTGCTGCCGCCATGCTGCCGGAGCGCAATTTCTGTTCTCATCCTGAAGCAAAGTTCTTAACCTGAGGTACTATTTCTGGGTTAGCAGAGTCTGCAACCTGAAACGTATGTAAGCTGAAGCGCATGTAACCCGAGGTACCACTTTATAAACCTCCCAATCACTAAAGCATTTAGGAACATCTAGGAACAGTTCTTGGTACAAGCTGCTGTACTGAAACAAAATCCACCATCAGCTCCAGATATTGCCTTAGCACATACATTGTGAACCTACAGACTAAGGAGGATACTAGCCCGCTTCTGTTTCATAGTGAAAGGGTAAGAGGTTATGATAAAACTGGTGAACACTTCAGAATAAAAAAAGATTGCAAGCATATAAACTGTAGAAGTTTATATGCAGATATAGGACGTACATGAATTCACATTAAGCTGGTTTTAACCACCAGTTCTGCATAATAAAATAACTAGTGATTTCAAATGGTATAAAGAAGACACAAAAGTGTTATTGAAGAGAGATGTTTTGTCAGCGTTTTGGAAAATAATAACTGCACCAGTGAAAAGGCTCTTTTGTACTTTATTGCAACCAATCATTACACAGAAGAAAAAGTTCATCTTTTAAAAGTCCCCATTACCTTGCCCCCATGGCACACTTGTGTAAACATGAAAATTATGTAATTATAAGCATTTTAAGAACTTGATCACAGCACAATAATTTTTTCACTCCAGCAGTCTAAAAATATATTGTCGCTATTGTACAAAAACACAATCCTATTTTTCTCGCATGTCCTTAAAAATATGGCTTTATAAAAAATTATTGCTCTTCCACTTAGAAATATGCAATTTTTCATTCAGTGAAGAATAACACTTTCATTTTATTTATTACTTAAATTTATATACCACCCTTCCTCCCCAAGGAGTCCAGGGTGGCAAACACATCAATGATAAAACAATACTTTGCCTCAATCGGTATTAACAGAACTAGAGGACTATTGCTTCCTGAAAAGTATGAATGGCATGATCCTTCCTGTACAGTCTCCCATTCCCTGCATTGGCCTGGTGTAATGCCTGTGGGTGCACAGCTTGTGGTGGTGAGAACAAAGCTCTGTTATATTTTATGGGAATCATCCATGCACAGATGCAGTACCCATGTGGGAAGGGAATATGCTCACAGAAAACTAGGATATATGCTACATACAAACTATGTAGACCTCTCAATATATTGGATTCCAACACAAGAAAAATGCATCACATTTCTCCTTACTCATGTTCCTACATTAAAAAATAAAATAAAATCTAATTATCTCCAAGTGCTGGCTACAGTTCACAAGTCAAAGATTCCACAATAATTCTAGTGAATTCCCACTGACTTCAATCCTACTTAGTGTTTCCAACTGATATCTCAGATTAAACTGAGATTATCTTTCTCAGAGCAACAGCATTAAAATGAGAACTATTCCTGAGCCAAAAAAGGATAAAATAATTAAAGTAATGTGGATCTATTGTAATGGAACAGCACCATGCAATAGTTATCTATGCCCCTAACTTTTTAAAAAAAGTTTACCTTCATTTGTGAGCAAAATAGGGATTTTATTAATAAATACTGATTTATATTTATAATAAGCAATTTTTGGTAAAGAATATTTGTTGAAATCAATCATATTCTGACTCATTAGATAGACTCATCAGATAACTACAACCCTTGCCTCAGAATAATCCCATTTATTTCAGAGGGGCTACTGTTGATTAAGCAGTTGTGAGAATACAGTTTAGGTACTTATGCCGATATAACTGCTGACAAACAGTGCATTACAATGGCAGGTCTAAGGGCAAATGGAAAAAAAAAATACAAGTAAGCCCAAGTGGATTTTCAATGTAAGCTCTGCAAACTTCCAGATTGCTAAGGAATTCTTCAGTGTTCATCAGAAGTGGTGGTTACAACAAGAACGTTTGTGTGTAGTGTAATTATTTAAGTAATTCTGTAGATATGTCCATCATTAAGGTGTTTGCTACACCTGAACATAGATTAAAGTGAGCTGAGCTCAGCTAGAATAATTACTAACCAACAAGTATACGTCCAAGCCAAAATTTCACAGCTCTATTTTAGTAGTGTTTGCCATAAAAGAATGTAAATATATCACAATGCTATTTGATCACATTTTAAAACTTTGCTAACTAAGATTGCTTCCAAATTTTAATGTATCCACAGATATATATATATTAAAATCTTAAATCATTTGTTGCTACATTATAAATAGCATATTACAATTATGTGAACGACACATGTAAAATTCAGATACTACAACCTCTTGGTCACTAATAAGGGAGAAAATAAAAACATGTATATTAAAAGCTACAAAATGTTAAAAATGTATATTGGGGTTCTAAATATATGCTAAAAGTATACTAAAATGTGAACTGAGTGCTACACATTTTCAGAGAGTTTCACAAGTGATGCGTAAGTAGGTTTTTTTTTTTTTTGCATCTACAAATTGAATGAAAAGTCTGCATTGACCAGAATATATATTCAGTTTAAAAATAGTGTTCTATTTCTGGCTAATACCATATTAACAACATCTACATGAGATGCAACTCAAATGGGAAAGTCTCCTAGCATCACTTGTGAAACACCTTTAGTGTTTCTCCCTCCACCACAAGTTTCTCAACTGCTTAGTTAATTACGGCATAAAGTCTATAACAAACATCTGTTCCCATTGTGTAGAGAATGGTTTAGGCTGGTCCTCCTGCTGTAGGGACAGTCTTTTTGAAGCTTTAAGTATCTGAAAAAATAAGGGGAAATCTAAATTAGAGGACCAACCATGATACAAATTATTTTTAAAAATATTCTTTATTACTAATATGCAACTTTGTAGCAAAGGAATTTGGTTGTACCTTTTATTAAAACTGTATTAGTTTTAGACACAAAGTTGCTATCTATTAAAGAGGGCAAGCAACAGCAGACCTTGAAGGACAGCCTTTTTGAGCAAGAAAACAAAAATATCTTCCCCCACTACACACATACGCACACATGCACACCATATACGAGGATGTACCTAGGGGATGGCCAGATTGGCCCCTGCCAAAGGTGCAGGTCCAAGGAAGCGCAGAAATCATACCTCTCCACTCTGGCTCAGAGTGGTTAGGAGTCTGCCCACTCTCCTTGCCAAGGGCACAAGGGAGCCTAGGTACGCCTCTGACCATACATGCATATTATGAGAAAAATGCATTACTATAATGAAAGCATACTTGTAGAGTAAGAACTCTCTACAATGAGGGTTC